TTTTTTTTTTTTTTTTTTTTTTTTTTTTTTTTATCATGTGGCATTTGTGAGTTCAGACTTGCACATTTTAGACAATTTTTCAACTCCTAGCATTCTAGAATGTTGACTGGGGGCCATAAACATACCAGCTGCACTAACCTTGTATACCATATATAATACCTTCCAAATCCACCTTGAATCAAGATCAGTATTTAACGCATCATGTATTCTTTTTATGACAGTATTTTCAAAAACATCAAATGTCAAGAGGAAAACAGAGGTCAAATGCTCTTAACTGAATTGTTCAGTTGTAAATATACAAAAAGAAACAGTAATGTGCTCTCATACCCTGAAAGGGTTCACTGGAGAATAAATTAATTTTGTTGTTCCATTTCTCAGTAAAACACATATATATGAACAGCATATTTTGATGTATCCTCCAATTTCTATAAAATACACCGAAGTCATAAATAAAAATAATAAGTATGTGTTACAGAATGTCCATGCGATAACTTGTTTCTTTTGCCTAGATGGCAAGCACTTTATACGCTAATCAACTACATATTCAATAATAACAGCCCCTAATTTCTCACTCTAAGTGACCTTGAGCAACATGTAGCTGGCAGACTTTGCAATATCTTAGGGTTAGTGAGATAACTAACTCACTGAAATGGACAAGTTTCTTCAATATACCTTTCTTGTATAATACTGAAGGTCAACTAGCATTTCCACAAATAATCCATATATCCAAAGTATGTGATAAAGTCATGTTTCACATTACTTTGCATCTATTTGAAAACACTAATAACTCAGTTTGACTTCGATAATTCTTTACTTTATTATAGCTGCACAAATGTTATGGGGAATAAATTGGCAGTCAAACCGAAACCAGATATTGTGGATATCTCAAAGGCTTCAGAGAATGCACCAGTGTTCTTATAAATGTGAAAAATTAATAAACACACATACACAGTTTGTAACCATAAAAAAATACAATGATGCACACATATAGTCATGAAGAGTACATATAAAATAGAATTAACTATGTTTTATGTATTATTATTATTTCACTGTACTTCTCTTTCTTTCAGGGTATTTAACAGGCTTCTTTGAGTCTAAAATATTGTATAAACAAAATATACTTTCTTGGCAATTGAACAACTTCCACCCCCATTTTTTGTGTGTCCTACTAGTAACTGGAGAATGTAGCTGTAACTTGTCTCACGACATGTGACCTTATGATTTGTATTAGTACAGTATGGGGTATGCAATTTATTTCACTAACACACTGTGTCAGAAAAGGAAACCATAGCTGAATCAAGTGTCACAGAGGGACTTTTCAAATGTAAGAGAAAATATTACTTTTATTCATACAAAGTAAACCATCACCCCATCACTTGATTTATTTATGTTGTGTAAAATTTCATAACAACCTACGAACAATGATAATGTCAACTTAATATGTGACATTATTTAGATGTCATCGCTCATCACGAAGATCTCAATACCAAACACTGGATTTGCTTGTAAAGAAAGTTTATAAAGTATTTTGAGTCGAGTATACTTTTCAGCTTTTCTTTCAAATAAAGAGGACAGCTCATAATCCAGTTTCTTGTTTTTTTTCATGTTTTTAATGAAAATGATAATCTTTTTGTTGGTTACCATTTCAGAAAATTAGATATTTCAGTGGTTCAGGGTATGTCTGCAGATTTACAACATTCAAAACAAGACTTTGATACCTCTAGTGAAAAAAGTACAGATAGCCCAGTATGCATGTTTTGCATTTAGCTACAAAGAGGAACAAAAACAAGATGTTATAATGACTGATCAAAGTTATAATTGTAATTGATGTTGGGTAGCATCAATAATTGAGCTAAACAGAAGGCTATGATAACATAATCACTACAGGATGAACAAGGTAATGAATGAATATACGTGAAAGTTGTGGAAAGTCAAAGAATTTTCATAATCAACCAGTAAAAACTAAAAACGTAGGTCAGAGGAGTGAAAGGATATACATATACGCAAGCTTCTGTATACATACTAACAACACAAGTGTGATCTTTATTTTGATATTGATGGAAATGCTAAATATAACATATAGCTGTTACAGTATTCTCTGGTTTTCCTTGTTTATATTTAAATTTATAATTGTCAAAAAATAACCGTAAGATTTATGTTGACTAATGACAAAAAAATTAGCATTCTTTAAACTTTCTTGGGATAAAAAGAAAACTACTATGTTTCATGTGGTAAGGTAATTCCATATCTCTTTTCCACACACTTATTTACATATCTTATTTACTGAACAAATATACGCCAAAAACTACTAATCAAGTTTTACTGAAAAAAAAACATTTGAAATGCATTTAAGAAGTTTTAGAGATTACACAAATAAAATTTGAGATGAAAAAAAGTATTTTTAATCTTAACATGAAAATTACTTTTCACATGGACTATTCGAAACAAATACTCAATATATTCAGAGACAAATCATTTTTTAGTTTATAAAAAATAATTCACTAATAAAAATATGATTTTTTGCATTTGACTTATGTTTACTGAAAAACTGCCACATTTCGTGAAGATAAATATATTTTATTAAAAGTTAGTAGTATCAAATCTGTAAAGACTAACTGAGTACAAAGAGGTCAATCAAGTCAACTGAGCCTGTATTGAGAGAGTTAAGTTGTTACACTTTGTTTAAGGGGTTAAAAAAGAAAACTTGTAATATTCAATGTTCATTTATTGATTAATAAAGGAAAATATTTTGAGTGTTAAGGTTTTTTGTTTACAAAATAATAGCTTATTATTACTTAAATTAATTGTTTATGATCGGGTCCACTCAGACCCCTGAAGAGTGACTACTGCAAATTTTTAAAGAAGACTAATGCAGTTTTAAAAAATTAACAACTCAAATGTCACCACATCTGAAACACCTTGAACAATAAAGCATGATAACTACCAAATGTTTTGGAACCTAAATTTTATTTGTTTGGTAAATTTACATTTATACTAAAATAAAAGCCCCATAAAAAACTTGTGTATAACATCATTAAACAAAATACATCTATAAACAATTATCTGAAAGCCAGGTTTCACACATACACACACTTGTTCTACAGTCTAAACACATTTGGCGACTCAAATTTCTTTGGTATTTTCCATTTGTTCTTATTTTATTTCCCAAAATAAACAAACATCTCATAAATATAAGATCAGATTCAACATTTAGGCCAACTTGTATATTTTTGTATGGCCATTTCTTTGGTTTTTATTTGTTCTATTCCAAACATATTTTCAAATAGCAACAATATGATCACAAGCCTGCTAACTTTTTTTTAATAATACTAATAAATGATCAGAACAGTAATGCACAACTGATTAAGGAATTATCAAAATGCTATATATAGGTTTCTTTTTCTAGAAAATAATCATTTCAGTTGATGCTATCAGAGTATAAGTATACATCAGCACATGTATATGTTTAGGTGTGTGCATGTATGTAGGGTAAGTGTAAAAACTGCAATATGTACTTTATAGGTATGTGTTTATGACTATTCATCCTTTCATATTTTCACCTTTCCCAAGCCTCTGCCCTCTTTGATCCTCAATCCTTAATAGTTGGCTTACTAACATGTAAGCATGTTACAACTCCAACTATTTTCTTTCTTGGGGATATGATTCTATAATTGGCACATTTTCATATTCAGTTATGATCAGTGATAGATTAGAGGGAAGACAGCTAGTCAACAACACCCACTGCCAACCCTTGGGGCTACTCTTTTACCAATGAATAGTGGGATTGACTGTCATTATAATACCCCCATGGTTAAAAGGGCAAGCATGTTTGGTGATGCGGATTCAAACCCATGACTCTCAGATTGTGAGTTAAGTGCTTTAATCACCAGGTTATGCCAGGCACCATGAAAAACAAAAAGAAGATTGCACGAAAACTTTTAAATGATGTATCTATAATTTTGTTAGCTTAAATGTTTACAAATTGAAAAATAAACAGATATTTAGATCCATTTTAGTTTTTGACATCACCAACTTTAAAAATTCAGTCTTCAAAGTATCTGAGATGGGTATAAACAAAAAATAAACCACAGATTTGCAGCTAAGTTTGGATTGTTGACAAGTTCCATTCAAGGAGAAGGGAAGTTTAATTATTTATACTCAAAAAATAAAAAATAAACTGAAAAGCCAAAAGTTAATACTGGAGTTGGCAGTTTCAATTTTTATTATTAGAATTTATTTTAATAAAATTCATATCAAAACAAATTCTAAACTTCAATATGGATGGATGGGTAGGTGGAGGAAGAGATCAGACAATTTCTGAAAACAATGTTATCATGAGCTGTTGCCAAAAATATCATTAAAAGTGAGAGAACCCAGCAACTCATTACTAAGTGTATATTTTTATATTTTAAATATGTAGGTACACTTTGATCAGAAGATAATATTAACAAATAGAATACAGAGTTGGAAAGGGTTAAAATATTAGAAAATTATTACTGTACCAGTATTTTTGAAAGGTAAAGTCTCAAGTTGCCTACGTGTAAAAGGATTACATCCCAATTCTTAAAATCAATCAATATCATAGTTGGAAAACAAAATGTAATTACAAAGACAATTACCTGCAAAATAAAATCTACTGAAAAATTTAGCTTGAAATTTAAAATACAGTAGCTTTTCACAAGTTAAGACTTCAATTTTATGAGTAGATGACGTTATTAAATTTACCTGCACTGGCTTTAGTGATTGAAGTTGAGGCTTCAAAGCATCTTTGATCCAACGATAAACCTCAACAGTCAGGTGCTTCGTCTCTTCTCGAACATTTTTGTCTCTGTCTTCTAAGAGCTTTGGGATCCACTTCATTAGTGGCTTTAGAGCAATGACTTTTGGACCAAATTGTCTAAACAATTGAAAGATAACTGCTGTAGACATTAAAAAATTATACACTGCAACTAAAATTACAAATGCACTATTACACGTGAAAGTTCATTTCACGAAATATAGCTGTCAAATCATTAATTGCTGTAGATACATCATTATGTAGGAAGTGTTACATCTAGCAGTATCTCCATAGGCCATATCAAAATAATTTAGTTTATATTTTCTTAAAGTCAAGGTACAAATACTATAATTTTCAATATTATTCAATAATTAGAAGTAAGATTGTTCCTTTTAAATTAGCAAGTTGGAAAAGTAAATGGATTAATTTGTGATTTTTTTACTAGAAATGGTTTTTACTTCAGCAAATCTACATGTAATCTTAGAGATATACTTACTTTAAACTATCTCTTAAAGCCAAAATGCAGGCAGATACAACCTTTGGACTTTTATTTTCCAGTCCTTTCAAAAGCTCATCCTGCAAAATGCAATTCAATAAGTATTACAATATACCAAATATAACAACAGAAACATGTATTGTAGTTTTTAAAAATTACGCTCTTCTTACTGTGATCATTTATACATATATTACAAAAATCATAAGCAACAGAATATTTTGCTTTTTAAGTCTTGCTGGATCATATCCACTTTTTTCCTTCTCAAAAGTCCTTAAGATAGTACATAACCACGACTTTCACATTCATAGTTTTCTTGAGAATTCTTTTTCTAAGAAACATTTAACTGGTCACATAGCACTGTACAATTTCTTCAGGAAACTGTGAACATGATTCTGAATTCACAGCTCTCTCAGATTACTTATTTTAAACATTGTCATGTACATAACCAACATATTTTTGGTAGATAATTTTGTTAAAAGCTCATAAAAGGCACTAAATAATACTGCTATAAAATCTAAAATTATACAGTATTTTAAAGAAATAGTTTGTTCTGGCAATAAAATGGGAAAAAAAAATATACACATATATATATATATCAAAAACTGTGTTTTAGCTTTGCATTTAGAAAAAACAAGCTAGAGATGGGACAAATATCCTAAAATATATGATAGGATGTTAATTTTGGGACAAATAATAAGACAGAAAACAGATAGCATTCTGATCAACAGATACCTCATGTTATCATTAATCACACATAATAGGTACTGCATCATCTAGCCCAGTGGTACTTTCTACTAGCTTCTACACATGGTATCATTTCCGCCAATATTAACCCGATTACTACCAGCTACTAATTTTCTGCGTAGCCAATGCAAGTCTTGCTATATTTAGTTCCAATAATAAAACTAGAGGATGAAATTGTTTGAAACTTCATAAGAACTTTCATAAATGTACGTAGTTTAAGAAACATAAAGCCTGTTACTTTTGATAAATTTAGTTTTTTTGTATTATGATCCTTAATATCTTGGAAAATTACATTAGGGAATGGTATTTATAAGAAATGATTACAATATTTATATTTGCTCCAGATTTAAACTTTACTTTTTATGTTTTTGTACATTTTAAAATCTCTAAAAACTTTTATCGTCCATAAAATGCAAATTTTGTCTATTTTTAATTTTTTAATAATCACGTATTCTCCTTACAATTTCAAGGAATATACAAGATCTGAAAATAATATTTCTAAGTAAACCTAAACAATAAACAAGTACTGTTTTATTTTTAACTAGGATTTCATGTTTATATATGTCTGTAAAAAAACATTTGAATTTTGTTTCATAAATGTATTTTTATTTCAAGTTCACATTTCCTTGTAGCCATACTTTTGTTTATTGTGCCGTAAAAACCATGAAGTTAGCAGTGTGAACTTCGTACATTTTCTGTAAACTATCACACCTATTGGGAGTCAGTCCTTCAGTCCAGCACAGGCACATTTGAACATTACTGTAGATATGATAGTAAGAAAGCTTTTCAGTACTTGAATATCATTTATTTGAAGTTTCAGGATGTAAAACAGTCTCATGCCATCAAGTGCCACATTCCCTTAAATGGCCTGAAATAGCCACTCAACCATGCAAAACTACACATTTTTATTAAATTTTCAAAAAGCAAATAAAATTGAAAGTATTCAAATTAAATCAGATATCAGGAGCCAGAGAGTGTATATCTAACCAAAACTACTATTTGTCTTATCCCTGAGGTAAACCTAAGGAATATTCAAAATTCTGAAATAAGGTCAATTAGGTTACAGAAATAATTTTCTAGAACTAAGAGTTCTTAATATGTTCAGTTTATTAAAATGTAAAATTATATAAAAAAAAAACAATTTTTGTGTTTGTATTTGTTTTATACTTTGCATGTGATGATGTCCTATCTAATAGATGGAGTATATTCAGTCATTAAAGAAATATTTTCACTTCTAAATCTACAAATCTTTGAATTTTAGGATTTTTTTTCTAATGAAATTCACATACATCTCCATAATCTAAAATCTTAACAAAACTTGCATTCAACCATATTTACATAAAAAATGAATAAATAAATTCCTTATTTTACAATACATGTGAAATAAAATCCACTTCAGCTTGAATTACAAATTAATCATTAAAAACAGGCCTTCTGAAGTAAAATACTGCAAAACAGTGAACAAAAACTATTTAAAAGACTTTACCTGTACAATTTCTTGCTTTTCAATTTCTATAAACATAAAAACAATTTCAAGGGCCTGTTCCTTCGTTTTGGCTTTAGGGGCAACAAAACATTTAGAAACAATGCCACTCATCACTTCACCACATGTCCTAGTTAAGTAAAAGATGTTTCATACAATGATTTTAGTGACCTTATTCTAAATGAATAAAAAAATATACTATTTTTAAAATAATTTCAATATACATCAGTCCATCAATACCATTTTAAAGAATTGTATGCATAAAATAAATTTTTCTTCTCATATACTAAAATAACATTTTCAAGCTTTCTTCATGAACTAAAGAGCAGCTTTGAGTGACCAAATGTTTTAAATGTGGAAAATCATACCCCAGATACCTTATTTATCAATGTACAGTTTCAGTAAGTTTTGAATAACATGCAAACTAGTAGTGTAAATTAAAGTTAAAAGATGATTTTAGCCACACAGATACAAAACAAAATGAATTAAGTTTGTTTTTTTTCAAATACAAAATCTACTGCTGCTCCATGAGAACAAATTTAATTTAATGAGTTTAAAATATAACACTGGTTTATTTCTTAAATCCTAGAAGCAATATCACAATGCACAAAAGTAGTAAAGTGACTGTTTCAGATATTAGTGCAAAGGTACACAAGAGATATCTGTGCTACCCATCCCTAATTTCTAGCTGATAGACTAGAATGAAGGAAGCTAGTTAACAGACCCAATACCAACTCTTAAGCTATTCTAATCAAATAGAAGGATTTGAATGTCACTCTAATGATGCACCCACAACATCTAAATAATGTTACATGAGCATGTACAGGTGTTTAGGACATTGAACTCTACTTGTGCAAGACAAATGTATAATACAACGAAATGCTCCCGTACATAACCAGTCCTGTCATTTCAAAACTAAAGGAACCTGTATATACAGGGAGAATACTATCTATGGCATGTAAAGTACATTGTTATCATAAATTATAACATGTGAAAACTCATCCTGTGAAATACATGTCAATTTAAAGTAACAGGAACTTTACAGTTGGACAGAATAGTGAAAGTCACATGTAATGTACATGATGAGTGTATTTTACAAGGAAACTCGCATAACTTCTCCTATGATGTGTTTTTCACTGAAATAAAACAAGAACAAGTAAAAACAAAGAGAATACTTCCAATTTCTAGTTATATACATGCTTACTGTAATACATTAGTCAATTCACCTATAAACAAACTGTCCCGTGAAATCTGTCACAAGTGGTTATATATGGTTACTGTAAGTTACAAGTAAAACCAACTGTACAGTACCTGATATGTCTCCACATTTTTTATATAAAAAATAAGTGCAGCAAGTGTCACAATATGATATCAAAGAAATTGTTCAATCACTCAGAAAATCTAATCAGGTTTTCTGTGCAAGCATATGAACCCTTTTCTGTAATTGTGCTTAAGATTTTTCAAAAAAAAAAATCTGAACTAAAAAAAACTTGACAAAAAATGACAAAATTTGAAAACTTCATTTTATCACTCAGGTCTCCTTCATATGCATATAAAAATCACACACAATTTATGTCTACATTAATTTTTTTTTTTATTTCATTGTACTTATGAGATTTTCACCAAAATTATAAGTCCAAAAAGTAGGAAAAAAAATACAATTTGAAAAACAATACAAAAAATCATTCTAAGAATCAAATCGGGTACTCTACACATACGTCCATTTAAAATAGGAGGATTTAGGTGATGCAGAAATCATGCACATGTTGGGATATTACTTAACATTATTCTAGAATACTACAATTGTCTAGAGAATGGCAAGGCTACTGTAAAACAAAGCGACCCATAAAGAATAAATATATTCTGTGAAATGCTTTCCATGGGAAACAAAAACATTGATTATATTCCAATGCTTAATTTGGTCCAAATATTTTAGAAAAATATTAATACTACCAATTTAAACAAATTGAGCCTTCAGTTGTGCATTATTTGTTTTAAATTACTGTTCTTTTCACCAAGCATTTAGTTACTTAAAAATGCAGAAGTAACACAAAAGAGTCATAAAAGTCATATGCTGTAGGAATACATACATAATTTCAATAACTATTTTACAGGTCTAACCAACACTTTCAAATTTTGATTAATTTTACAAATGTTAGACCCCTATTGCATTTTAAGTTACAGTGCACTCGTCAAAATTCCTCTCTGAGAGACCCGAGCTATTGATAATTCCAATTTTTAAAATATGATTGTCTAGTTTTCAGGTATTTTACCAAAAGATGTTGCAGGAATACCACTTTATCTTATCCTCAACTCTAAAATTTCTATTAAAAGCACAACATAAAAAAGTGGTAATTTTAATACCTTTCAGCAATTACTACTAATGTGAATTATAAACTCAGCTTTAGGTACTATGTTTGTCATTTCTTTCATGGGTATCTGTTCTTTTAATGGTATTTTTAAACAACAAAAATGGAAGCTGATTTCAAACCAAAATACATGAGCGTGATGTTGGAGCAAACAAAAGAAACTACTGTTCTCAGTGCAACAAAAGCACTTTGTAACACACATGAACTTGAAATCAATACAAGTCATTTATTTCAATCAAGGAAACAGGGATAACTTTAAAATGAAAGACTTACTTTCCTGCACATCCAGCATTTTCTACAAAGGCTAACACAGCAGCCAATCCTTTTTCTTGTGCAACTACATTGTTATCAGTAACGAACTTTTTTAGAAGGCCCAAATACTTGTTGAACTCGGGACTCTTTGGATCAACCTGTTGTTGAAAAATCTTGGCAGCTTCTTCAAATCCACTTACTCTAGCCTTCCATTGCTGAAGAGGAGGAAATCATAATCAGGTGAAAAATGTTTTCAAATAAGTTATCAAACACTACGCTACAAAAAAATCAAAAGTGCTACACCTGATACAAACTAACATGTTCACAACCAGAGTTAGTTAGTACAGCCAACTTCTTGTATGCACACAAGCACAGAATTAAATTTTGGTAAAAGCTTCAAATGGAGACAAAATATATCTGCATGTAAATGCATAGAGATGAACACTATTTCTGATTTATTATATTTTATACAGGTTCTTTAAATTTTCTGAAATAACTTAAAACAATCTGAAAAGCTTACACTAAGGAAATGTAATTGAAATGTTCTAATGGCAGCTAATGCTAAAAAAAAGGGCACTACACTTGATGATACATAAGATAATCTTAAATGTACTAATTATAAAACAATGCAGCTAAAAGGTCACTATACATGGCCCGCATTGTAACCTACAGTTTTTTAATAAGAAATATAAAATTATGCATAAATGATACACAATATAATTAATGTTTTGATAATATATACTATGATGTTCCCCTTTGTCAAAACATTTCATCTTGTTCACTGTTTTAGTGTACACAGACAGTTCAATCTTGGTAACACATTAAATATATAATATCAATTATGTATTTACATATATATAACTCCTAATATAACAAGAAATCACAGTATTTTTCAACTACATAATTAAAACTAAATACAACCCAATGTGATCTCTTTATATTTCTAATTCGAGTTTTCCAAGGCTTGAGCTGAACAAAGGTATAATTATCTAACAAAGATTCAAATATTTCCAAATGTATCTCTTTCCTTTCACTTTAATCAATTCCTTTATATTACAACTTGTACAATTGTTTACTTAAAGAAATAAAGTTTGAGCTATTTAAAAAATTCCAAAGAAATAAAAAATTAAGTTAATCGGAAACTTTTTTATGGAGAAAAATCACATGTAATTATTGCTAAAAAGATTACACTACATATTTTCCCATAAAAGGGAATAGGTCACATATTATCAAGTACAGAAATACAAGAACTGTTAACACTTGAACTGCAATACTTCTCTTATGAGTGAACCACATAAAAAAACATGTGTACAAAACTCGTTTATAAAAATATTTATTACACTGGTCTATTAACTATTGGTAAAAATTCACATCTAAAATCCTCAGAGAATCAATATATAGACAAATGTCAAACCTGATATGTACCATGAAGAATGTGCTCTACACATATTGATAAATAAACTATGTGAAAATTAAACAATTTGTTTTCTTATATGCATGCTCTTAGTTTTTATATAGTTTAGTTTTCTCTAAATGCTAAAAAATATATGAAGTATGATTAATTACTGTATTTCCTTAACCAAAAAATTAATCTCCAGCTAGTTTTAACAGAAATAATGCTAAAAATCTTAGAGGTTTTATAACAGAACTTAAAACATAGCTATTTGTCTGTTCTAAAGATCTGATGACACATTCTTGTATATTGCAATATAGTGAATAACATATATTTTACAACATAATATACTTTAACCTGTACAGCACAAGGGGATTTATAAGTAAATAACAGAAAAATATTAATTACTGACACAAGTTAAAAATATATACAAGAATAAATTACTGTATGTACTACATTTTATGTACATATATTATATAATTATGCTGCTTTTTTAAATCCTTCAATTAAAATACATTAAAAAATACAATTTCATTTCAATTCTTCAAGGTCTCAAAAAAATAATAATTCCAATGTATTTATTTTACAAGCAAGTGGCCTACTTAAATATCTATCACAAAACTGATCAATTAAGCTTACATAAGTTCAGTCCATGATAATGAACCATACCTTGTGTTGACATCTTTCTTCAACAGACAGCTTTAGAAAGTCAACTTCTTCCTCCATACTTTTCAACTTTTACTTTAAAATAGAAAACATATGGCACTGAACAGATGTTACATATGTAACTCACCAACAATATAGAATTATATATACAAAGTATTTAAAGGATGAATAGTTACAAGAAATAATTAGAAACAAACAGTGAAGCTTATACAAGCTACTGATTAACTTTTGACCTAAATTCCTGTATTTACTTGATCAAAAGTTAACTGGGTGAATGTAACATACACAGTTACACACAAAACTAATAATATATTATATGTAATGTAAACTATTATATTAATCAGTAAAAACTTAGAAAGAAGTCTCTATTTAGTATCAGGTTGTCATGGAAACTAGCTTACAAGTTAAACATCCTGCTAAAGTGTTGAACTTTCAACAACAGATGGCCCAGTTAACTTACATGTACAGTGAGAACGTATTAATACATGGAGTCAAGATTCCTCCTACATGAACATGGCTGGCTATATCTGTAAGGTAAATCATCAGCCACACCTCCACAAAATCTAACCACACAACTATTCTCCAACATTATGGTCCCTCTGAGTCAAGACATGTATTTTTTATCTCAATGATATTAATGTAGATGTGAGTAAATATGCATTTGAATTACACAAAACAGTTTCTATACCTTAGTAATTTTCATTAAAAGTTAATAGAGTAAGTAATTTGTATTTCCACTGAATGAAAATAAATTCAATAAAAATTGAAGTAAGCATCAGCATCAATTATTGAACAACATACCTTTATAACTTTTATATATTCAAAACAATGAAACCCTCTATATATATGCCATTTTACACTATCTCTTGCTTTTCCTGATCCAAAAGTATATTAAAATTTAAAGTTGATGTGTTTTAAATCTAGTCACATGTACTCATGCTTTCATATTATACCTACCTTTGGATATATTCTTTTATAACAACTGGTTATATATTTGTAATAAATTAAGATATGCATGAAAATAAAGCTTTAAGATGTACACTGTGATTTCAAAATAACTGAAATATGTGATATTAGCTTTTATTGAATTTTATGGACAAGTAAAACATACTGTATGAGCTTATATTCCTATTATGTTTACAACTAAGAAAATTCCAACAACAATACAAAAACATCAAAAAAGAATAGCATATTTTTGGGTAAATGCACAACTACAAAAAATTGATATAAACAAGGTTAAGGTCAAAGCAAAATATATATGATTATCTCTATCTACATATATAAAGACAAAATGTGTGCTTGTTTGCACCCTAATTCCTCTGAGTCTATTGGGCCAATCTCAACCAAAATTTGCATGTAAACACTATGAACTATGGGGAATGTCCTAAGGGGTCAAAACTGAACTTGACCTATTTCTATTTTGTAAAGCCTGTTGGTAAATTACTCCCAGCCTATTGAGTCAATCTCAAACAATCTTGGCAGGTTGACACATCAGTTTATTCTATTAGCTTTAATACTAGCAAGAGAGTACTGTCACAATGGCTTCAGTGATTTATCCACCACTATATCAAGATTATTTTCATCATTCATGCTACTTAGTTTGTTCCAATCTATATTAAAAGAAGAGGAACCTGTTGAATAACAAATGTAATATTTTTTTAGCTTTGACAGAAAGGAATTAGAAATACTTGTAGCTGTGGATATTTTTCTGGTGAAGAAAAGTACATGTATTATTTTGCTATTATCAAAGTTTAGAGTTATTATTTGAGTTTGATTACTTAGGACTGGAATCTTACTGCAGTACAGATAATCCCAAAGTTACAACATTAGGCTCGATTCTAAAACTTAACTTGCTGTTGTTTTGGACAGCACTATGCTATAGGATACTGAAATTATTAACTATTATAATAAAATAAAGAATTGTCATAAGTTTTAGCTAAGAAGAGAATTTATTTATGTTAAGAATTCAAGTTATTTCTTTATTATTTGGTAGCTGCAAACTAGTCTATTTAAACTAGCAACTAGTTGCATATATTTGGACATGCAGTGCACATAGTAGCTGTGGTACTGGTAATTAACAGTATCAGTATTAGTTAATAGGGGATGCAATGTTAACCTATAAACTGAGAAACAGCTTACTTTTAGTTAGATATACAATTATTGAGTGGTTAAATGGAAATAGAAAATAAATAAAAAATCTCAATATGGTTAAAGGTGGTTCAGAATATGTTTGGTAGAATTTATAGGGTGAAACAAGTGTCAGGATCTGGTTATGTTTGAGAACTGTGGGTTTAACCTTATGGATATGGGCAGGTAAAATAGTGTATATTGCAACTTTTTACAGAGTAACATTCAAGATTTAATTTAGCTACTTTATTATCAATGACTATATTCATGACTAAATTCCAAATGTTACTGTCTATTCTGTCACCATTTTCTTCACATATTGTTATTAAAGTTAACCAGCTTTAAATGTACACTTCCCAAACAATCAGATGTATTCCAATGAACTTCACTTGGAAAAATTAACTTCTGTTTCCCACTAGCTTTATACAATGAAGCAGCAAAATGATTATTTCAGAAGTATTTTACTACTTCTACAATATTTGCCTTAACAGAAACAATATGAATATCTTATGTCAGTAAGTTTAACAGATGAGCTGAGCATCCATAAGTAACAGGCTGGTCTCATTCTGCATCGTATTATAATATTTGCCTCGCTTTTTATTTTACATTTCCTCTGTTATCAGTAACAATAGTTTCACTTTTCATTTAAATGTGGTCTTGTAATCTTCCATGGAAGATTTGGCCAGTTCACTAAGGTACTCAGCATTATGTGGGTGTTCACAAGTGTCCACAATTCCACAACAGCACTACTGACAGAGGTGCAAACAAACTGATCATTGCGAATACTGTTCCATTCACATAAGCTGTGTTTTCTTGAAGGACTTCTACTAGTTTAGAGTATTCTTTGCTGTAGATAGTGTCAAGCAATTCATTTCCTATTTCATTCTGATTTGGGAGCTTATGACCTGGTCTCAGCTTTGACACCATTCAAATAAACTTTGGGTGTTCTACAAACTAAAATGGTGTGTTGGCTTGTGTAAACGAGACTTTGGTTTTTAGGTACAAGTGGATACTAAATTTCTTTTTGTGAAGTTGAAGGTTGTGTTTGCAAATCAGTTTCTTCACTATCATCAGGTTTGATGATCACATATCAATTTTTACATATTGTTAAGTGCTGCTTCATTTGAGCCACAAGATCCTGTAGCCCTTTCCTGCAGTTATGCATTTTACCCTCTTTCCAGTTTTATCAGTTCATAGTTCTTGGTAAAATTTCCAAATAGGATCCCTTTGTGACCAGTTGACATGGTTGCTAATTGCTTTTGCTGTGGTAAACAAGCTCAAAACATCAATGCTACATTTAAGAATTAATGCCAAAACAAATGTTCCCAAGACCTCATAGTGAGTGAGATGGTGAAAACACATTATTTTAGACCTCGTAGTCTCCAAGGTTAAAAATCATTTTTTATATTTTTAGTGTGGTGAAAAGTTTTCATTTAAATTAAAAAATCCAATTTATATTTTCTAGATTTAAATCAATCTACCCTAGTTTTAAAGAAGGTAAACAAACCTCTTGTTTTTACTAGGTCAATAGACAGTGGGTATGTCACTGAGAATTGGAGTACTGCTAATGTTTCTCCTATTTTTAAAGTGATTCATAAGAATTGCCCTGGGAAAATTCTAAAAGTCTTATAAAAGAAGCTTTAAAAAATCATTCTGCGAAACATGATATGCTAAATGAAAACCAACATGGATTAACCACAGGAAATCTTGTCTTACTAACCCATTAATTTTTATGAGGTTATAACCAGTTTATCTAGGCTATGGAAATTGTATAGACTCGTGTACTTAAATTTTCAAAAAGCTTTTGAGAAGGAGCCATACAAAAGATTAGCTAAGAAAGTCATCTCTGTAGGGGTTGGAGAAAGGCTAGTTAATTGGATTGTTTGAGGGGTTGGATGGGAGGAAGAAAACAGTTATTAATGAAGTCCATTAACGATAGGGTTATAATTAATAAATTAATGAAACTTGACAATGATATTACACTCTTTTTAAGACATTTCTAGTTATGATGATCAGCTTGTTTGCACCTCTGTCACTTGTACTGATGTGGAATTGTGGACACTCGTGATGTTACAAAATATGTCTTGGATCAATTGGTAAGTTGGACTAATATCTAGAAAATGACCTTTAGTTATAGTAAGTGCAAAGTAATACACTTAAATTATAATCTGAATCATACAATATAAATGGGAACCCACTCAACAGCATAATTGAAAAATACGATCTTGGCTTAGTGGTAGATAATTCACTCAAGCCATCAAAATGTTTTGTTGCTAACAGTATAATAAATACAAATCAAAAGATATAACTATATTTATACATATCACTAGTTAGGTGTCACTTTAAATACTGTTTATACCTTATTTTTCAGTGTATAAGATGCACTTTTTTATCCCAAAATTTGATGTCAAAATCTGCTTGTGTCCTATACACCGAAGGTATGAATAATATATATGTATATATATATGATATACACAAGCCATGCGTAAATATATTTAAATAGCCATGCATAGTTTAGTTCAATTGAATGTGTTATTTATAACAATAGTAGTTTTTTTTTAAAAACATAACTATTT